AGGTTAGCTTCTGGTTTATGTACATTTCAAACTTTGTTTCTCCTCCACGACCCATATATTTTTACTCTAATTCCGGATACCATGGGACACAGTCATACCACAGTGTGACCTCTGGTCCTAGACTTTACTATCACAACACTGAATGAGTCAGCCAGTCACCCTTAGGAGTATTCCTGGAAGTCATTTCTACCTTGGGATGCCTATATGCTAAAATAACTGTATGCTGAAGTTACTGAAAACCACATCAATATATCCCACCCCACCAACACTGAATGTGTCTCATGATTCAATTTCCCCTTACCTGGATCTCCAAAATGCCTGTAACCATTCCAATGACACCTGACACAAGGAGAAATGTGTTGAAGTATAAAAGTATAGTAGACTTAACCAGTTGCAGTTAAGTGATCATACCTCTGAAAATTTACAAAATAAAAGGTGATGCATCTTCCACTTGCCTCTCTTGGGATACTTACTCTTGCAACCCAAAAGCTGTGAGGAAGCCCAAGCTATAGAGAACAAGACAGCTAGCTCCAAGTACCCTGCTGTGTGAGAGAGCCATGTTGAAAGAGGGTTCCGCCAGACCCAGTTGACACTGAATGGAATGAAGACAAGCTGTAGATTCATGCAAGACAAATGATCATGGTTGTTTCAAGCCTTTAGTTTTTGGAGTAGTTTACTGTGCAGCAACAGATACCTGATACACTGTCCATCTTTCCACTCACTCCAATCTGAACTTCTCCCCATTCCATGATCACACCTCATGATTCTCTGCCCTGTGCCTTTCTTCATACCATTTCTTCCATCGGAATGGCCTCTTCCCATTGAAACCTTACTTCTCCTTAAGGTACTTCCTCTAGGATGCTCTCCTCATTGCCCCAATTGGTTGTGATACCTTTCACCTCAGAAATCTTGGCAAACTTTTTTCTTCCACTTGTATAGTACTTACTGCCAGGATTGATAGCCAACATATTTATCAACTGGCAAGGCCAAGTAGCAACCAATCAGAAGGGAGGCCGCCTGAATCCTGGGTCCTGTGACTGCCCTCACCTTGCGGCCAAGTTGGTCCCACATAGTCTTAGCTCCTCTCTTAGCCTGTACACACCTTCACCTATGTTTATAAGTGTCCCCATCCCCCATGCAAAACATGGGGTCTTGTATGTAATATACTATATCATTATTATATGAATAATTCGTTGAGACTTAAAAAATAGATCTCTGACTTGTAAAAGGAAATGTCCACAGAGAATACCCAGGGGGAAAAGGAGCTTAAAACTTGAAAACTGCAAATAACTGAGAAATAAGGTAAGTTTTCTCAAACCAGGACCATAAAGTCTGGGGATTTTTGACCCCAGAGCTAACAGATCATCTCATTGGTTCTCACACTTCTGTGAGCAAAAGAATCACTTGGGGAAAATGAGTGTGGGTGGGAGTGGGGAGGGAGAATGTGGATTCTAGATCCCGCCTTCAGACATTCTGCATAAATAGGTCTGGGTGGGGCTGATGAAATCTCCTTCTTAATAAGCTCTCCAGGTGACTCTGATGCAGGTGGTCTGTGGACCACACTAAGAAAACCTGTTTAGTCAGAACCCCTCCGTCACTGTCTGTTCCCTCTTGCCATAGTCCTGTGCCCTTTGCAGTGGCTGTGGATGCTGGACTGCCTAGCTGAAGAGGCAGCATGACCAGAAGGAGAGAAGTTGGGAAAGCCCTAAGTCTAGGGCTGTCTTTGAAGGAGAATCACGGCCTGTAATCTTTGGGTGGAGGCAAAATGAAACAAAACACTCCATGGAGATCAGCAGAGAGGCAAGTAGCCTGGTTGGTTGAGGAGTCTTCTGTCTGGGGGTGTCTTCAGGTGGAGTGATCTGTTTCTTCATAGTCAGTTAAGTTGTTAATGGTGTGAATCACTCACCTCCACCCTTGGCTACCCAGTTCCTACCAGTCCAACATTTAATTTCATTTACTCATAACCCCAGAGCTAATATTAGAACCCCGGAGTCTAATATCAAATTATCTACTTCAACTTTTTTTTTTTTCTCAAAATAAAACCTACACAGTACTGAATCTTTCCACTATTTAGAAATAAATCCATGGAGTCTTTCCAGCTTTGTTCTTCTTGCTTCACTCTCTCCATTTTCTAGAACCCTGCACAAAATGAGTGAACCTGCCCTGGAATTTGGATGAGGCCTCCGAGCTTCTACTCATGCCAGCGATTTCACCCTGTAATCTCTAAGCGGTGGCTCCCCAGCCTTTCAGATCTCAACACTTTCCTAGATTAAAAACTGAGGGATGTTCTTTAACTAAAACAGCTTTCCATCACCAGTGTCTTCCTCATCTTAGAAGGAGGCAGGAAAGGAAATCATGGAAGCAGCTACCACTGACTCACCATGAATTATTTTCAACTGTGAATTATTCACAAACTGTGGAATATCCATCTTTTGTAAAATGTAAGGCCTTTCTGAAATACTCTTCATCTTCCCCAATTCTTGTGCATTCAAGAAACCAAGGCTCTGAAAGGTTCGGTGAGTCATCTAAGGTTACAGAGCTAGTAAGTGATGATCAGGGAGTTGACCCAGGTCCTCAATGCCAATGCCAGGGCACATTCCACCATGTCATGTGGTATTTGCTATGTGTATGAGCCAAGCAGGGCCCACACAGCTTGTTGATGAGAGAACCTGAGAGTGGCCATGAGAATGTGCCACGCACACCTCCAACTACCAGGAGCATAATTGGGCCAGAGCACAAGCCACTATGCTCTGTTCTAAAACCCATCTCTGCTTTCGCTGAGGTCACCTTTCCCACAGGCTGCTCCCTGCCAATGACAGTGTGGCAGGGGTGCTAGGAACAAGCCCTTCCTGGGAGACATGGGACTCCTGTGACTGGTGACTTCCTCTCAGGACTTCCTTTGGCCTTGCTAAACTTTTCTTAGATTGGAGCAAAGGAAGTCCACCCCACCTTCCTTCCTTTTCTTCATTCAAGGTCAAACTCATATCAAAGTCTGATGGCAATCCCACCTTTCTCCAGCTCCCTAATCAAATCCTTGGCTGCCGCTTCCCAGAAGCCCCAGGCTATCACAGGCTGCCTCATTCCTTTGTTGCTGATGCCTTGTCAGGCCTGTCTCCAGGCTCAGGAACCCTGAGGAGAACCTAACGTTCAGATCCTCTAGTGAAGTAGAAAGTGAACCAAGGAGGCAAAAGACGGACAGATTAGGCAAATTTCAACATGCATGCCAGTGCTGGGCCAAATCTGCCCTGAGATATGGAATCTTCAGGAGAAAGTACTGCCATGGGCATGCTGCATTGGCAGCCTTCTGGAAGTGGTCCGGGAGAAGTGGTTGTTTGGCGTGCCCCCAATAAAGCCCCATCTCCCTGTGGAAGACAAGTGGTTTCTTTTTGACCTGCATCTCTCGTGTTTCAAAAGCTGCTATCCGCGAGACCTGTTTTGATTGACCTTTAACCTATATGTGATGGGGAAGAGGCAACCAGTTCTGATGAATACTTGTTAAAGGAAGAAACATCTGTGTTGAGTTCCCCTGAGACGAAGATGTCAGGGACGACATTAATTAGTCTTTGTCTATATCTGTCATTTGAAGAAGGAAACAATTTCAAAAACTTAACCCCACACACTCTCCTCCCCCGAGTCACGGAGCGAGCATACCATTCCTGTGTTCACTCACTAAACACGTACTGAGCCCTGCCATGGCCAGGTGCTGGTATTCAGAGAAGGAACACCGTTTAGTGGAGGCACTACCTTGTGTCAGGGAAACATCACGGGGGGAAGTATTGGGGGGGGTTGTCTAGGGAGACTGGGATTGAGAGTTTGATTTACTGAAAACAAGCTTTTAAAAACCTTGCCAATAAACATATTTACTGTGATGGCAATGCTCTCATTTTTAAAACACACAGCAATTATCCTCTAGTGGATCATTAATTTAATCCAGGTGTGGGTGAGGCTGGTTGGATACCAATCTGTGTAAAGATGGCACCTGTATCATCAGTCTGCCTTAGCTGGCCCTTTAGGCAATGTGAACTGATAGTTTTACTCTGGGACTGTGATTCTCAGTTTCCACTTCACTATTTGACAGCATCCTGGAGCTCCAGGCAGGCCCCAAAGTCTTGAGATGATCAGTGGGCAGAAAAGGGAGGGTTTACACACCGAGAAGCAAAGTTGCACAGCACACTCTAGCTCTGCGCTGTCCCACAGACACATGTGGCTGCTGCGTACTTCAGATATGGTTAGTCTGAGTTGAGATGTGCCGTACATATAAAATACACAATGGATTTGGAAGACCAAGTGAAAAAAAAAAAGCAAAATATCTCACTAAAATTTTTGATATTGATTCCATGTCGAAATATTATTTTGGGACATATTGGGTTAAAAAGCACATGAAAATTAACTTCATTTGTTTCTTTTTACTTTTTTAATGTGGCTACTAGAAAATCAAGACTTACACATTGAAGCTCAGATTGTATCATACAGTACTAGATGTCAAGTTTAAAGAAGGCGGTGATTATAGCTATGTTTACTCACGAAATCACCACTGTACCCATAGAATTCAACACAGTATCTAGCACTGAGAAGCATCAGTAAATATTTGAGGAATTAATGAAAAGGTGAATGAACAAATGGACATCAGTTATTCATTTCTCCGAAGTCAAGAAGCATTTCTATCCCCTCCTTATCTTAACATCTGAGAGGAAGTTTGGAGATCAGGAAAAATCTATCTCTCAATTTGGAATCTCCAGCCCCAAACTCCCCTGCATGTATGTCTAACTGCCTGCTCAGAAACTCCTCTTAGATGGGTAAAAGACACCGCGGACTTAACATTTGCAAAGCAGAATTCTTTGTTTTCCCCCAAACTGGTTTCTGCCCAAGACTTTCTCTTCTCAATCAGTGGCACCACAATCCCCTAATTTTTCAAGGCAAAAACAGTCATTCTTGAGTAAGTACCCTATTACCCCCCATTAACACCCCCCCACCCCAATCAATCAAGAAACAAGACTTACTGGTTCTACTGCAAAGTCTATTCCAGATATTTCCACTTTCTCCACCATCACTGCGACCACCTTGGTACCAGCCACCTTTGTCTCTCACTGGTATTACTGTTCCTACTTGGTCCATGTGTTGCTGCCACTGCCTGCAGAAGTTCTGTCAATTGTTATTGTCCTTCTGACAAAGACAAAAAAAAAATGAATGCCCAATAAACATTACTGTACAATGATTTTTATCTGTATTTAACAAATATGCTTCAGTAAAGCACACAAACTACAGGATGGAAACAGATGGGGGCAGTCATCCAAGCACACACCAGCCTTCAGGCCAGTGTTGAGTTTGTCCAGATAGGAATCTGTTCTATTTATAAGGCTCTCCACAATGTGGGACCCCGAGACAGGCAGGCCGAGGCTTTCACTGTCGCCATGACTAAATGGATACATAAGAGTTATTGCACAGTGACCTGTGATCCTGTTGGACCAAATGTTTTAAAACTTTTAATGTGTTTCACAAACTTCTCAAAATTCAAAAATTAAATAAAATCTTAACCTGAAAATAACTTTGAGAATATTTATAAGGATCCCTAAAACATTTCAATGTCTGTCTGTCTGTCTGTCTGTCTGTCTGTCTGTCTCTCTCTCTCTCTCTCTCTCTCTCTCTCTAACAGGGGGAAATTAAACTAAATAGGTCTATTTGATATACTAGCATTACATGGGAAGTATTGGCAAATAAAAAAATAACAATTATGAATGTACAGCATAGAGAATATAGTCAATGATATTGTGACAGTGTGGTACAGTGTCAGATGGTTGCTGGACTTATCATGGTGATCACTTCTTTAGGTATATACATGTTGAGTAACTATGGTGTACACCTGAAACTAATATAATATTGTATGTTAGCTATATTTTTAATAAAAGTTGTTTTTAAAAGTAACAATCAGGTCGTATTTGTATGCATGTATTGTTATTAAAATAAATTTATGGAAGCTATATAAAATACCTAAGAATCTACATTGTCCTGATATAATATTTTATTTGCAGTTCTGGTTGTTACCTTAAAATGTTGTGTGTAGGGCCGGCGGAGTGGCGCGATGGTTAAGAACTGGCTTGGGATGCCAGAGGGCCCTGGTTTGGATCCCACATATGAGGGCCAGTGACATTGCCCTCCACAGCTAAGATGCTGAATAACAGCTCAACCTGGAGCTGGGCTGCCGTGAGTCGCCCGCAACGGTGTAGGCTGCAGCCCCTATGGCAGTGGGTTGCCATGGGCTACCGTATGTAGCCAGCAGCCAGCATGAGCGCCCAGCAGCTGCAGTGAGCAGCCGTCCAGAAGTTGGCGACTGATGTGCCTCGCCCAGGAAGAGCGCAATGATGGTGCCAACTTGGGCCAGTGAAGCAACGTCCTCCACAACTAGACTGAAGAACAAANAAACAACAGCAACTTGTCTGTTCCCCTTCCCCAATTCCCCAGCACTGTTCCCATCCCCCCAATTCCCCAATAAAAATCTTTAAAAAAAAATAAAATGTTGTGTGTAGCAGAGAAAAACAAATTTCTTTGTCAGTTGCATTGTAATCAGATCTTTAACCATTGCATTTTAAGTCTTTGTCATTTTCAGAGAGCCATTGTTTTACTCATACTTTTTACAAGAATATTTCATCTTCAGAGAGATTCATGGAGAGGACTCTGACACTACCTTTAAATACAGATTTCTGATAAAGTTTAAGATCATTCCATTGAACTGGGTGAGAATTTGCAGAACACCAAGGAAAAATTTGATTCATAAAACTGCTAACAAAAAGACCAAGATCAAAAGGAATTGGTAACATGGACCTGAATTAATTGATGAGGATGATTATAATTTTTATGACCTTTTATTTGAAATATTAATGGTTCTTTAAATTTTTTTTTGTTTTCCAGATATAAGAAAACCTTTTCTCTTAAGCTTTGTATGACAGAGCAGTTTGGCAAATTATACCTTTTTGAGCAGAATTGAAGCATTTATCTCTTTCTTCCTACTTGATCCCTCCAGAATTCAGAAACTGTCAGTGAGTATTCTTATTTTCATGGCAATATTGTTGTTTGCATAAGTTCAATACGAGTCTGTTTTTCTTATAACAGGACAATGGAAACTGGTTGTATTACCAAGGCTTTGATTACAATGTCATATTTGAGAGACAAATGCATAGACTCAGGAATGAGCAGACAACCTTAAGGAATTAAGATTAATTTGTGGAAACCAATAAAACCCATGGCAGTATCAGCCTGGTTTTGTTCCTGCCTGTAAACTGGACTGGATCCTGAATTCTTCTAATTTCCTCCAATATTTGGCTATGATTTTCCAAACTCACCTTTCCCATTTCTCTCCCATCCTTTGAGTTGGAGTCACTGAGGGCTAACACACTAGTAAGAGGTAGAATCAGGCCTTGAACTTAGATCTTTATAACTCAAAATCTAGTACCTTTTCTATTCTCTCAAAGGCTCTTCACCTAGGGACCCTAGGAAACCCATAGGAAGCGTATGGGAAATGTTTATGAGGGAGAGAGTCATATCTTTCCTCGGATTCTCAAGGTGGTCCATGGCCTCCAGAGGGCTGAGATGTGAGCTTTAGGCCACATGCAGTCTTGATCTGGTGTTTGCCTGGTGTGATGGAGAGGAAGGAGGAGGAGAGAGCAGAAGTGGAAGGTGGTTGTGTATTGCTCCACTCACTCAGTTTCAACATCACTCTGAACTGATTACCAACTCCGGGGGGATTGCCAGTTTCCATCCTCAGGGGTTTGGGGTGATTGACAAATGACCTGGTCTAAGTGCCACATACTCCCTGTGGTATTTGTAGACACATTCTAGTCATTGAGAGAAACAATACTGGTAGGTGCTGTGGGCCTGCCACATAATAGAGTCCTTGGTGGGGATGGGGGTGTCAGAGAGGCCACAGGGATGGGGACTGGGCCTGAAGTCACTCTCTTGAGCACATGGTGATGTAGCTGTGTCATGATCTGAAAGGGAGAGGAAAGCCAGTGGAGCTCAGACTCCAGGAAAGCAGTGGAAAGAACTATCAATGAATTAAATACTAAATCTAATTTTACTCTGCACTTCTAGGTCACAGGCCTTCCTGAATATAAAAGGAATGGAGAGTTGAACCACTGTTCTTATTCACTGAGCTGGAATTTGTAGAGTATTCACTGCTACTACTATGCATGGTGCTAGGGGGCTCCGTGTAATATAAATGTGAATAAGGCACATTCTGTACGTGTGCATTTCCACAAACTAGGAATCACAATTGAATGTGACAAGTCCTATGCCAGAAACATTATAAAGAGCTGTAGGAACACCTCCAGAGGAAAAAACGATTATGCTTAGAGGAATGAGAAGTACTTCTATTGGAGGTGACATGTCAGTTCAATTAAATAAATATGTATCATGTGCCAAGCACTGTATTGGCATGGGGTGGAAGATGTCTAGATGTAGAATACCTGCTGTGAGGGGCTCAAAGCCAGCCCACAGGCCTAGAAGCACAGAAACAGCCTCTACAACAAAGGCACTGCATCTGAGGTGCCGGGTAGCACAGCTCTGAGAGCAACAAACTGTGTGTGTCCTGGAGAAAGTGATGCCTGAGTTAGGTTCTAGAGGGTGAATAAGAACTTAAGGGGTTGCAGGTAGTAAGAAGCATAGATACAAAAGCTTTCCAAAGAGAAGCAAAAATGATAGTATTTATAGAGCATTCACTCGGGGCCAAGCACTGTACTAAGTGCTTTGCAGACATTATGTCACAGTGACACATTTTTTTCTTTCTTTCTTTTTCTTTTTTTTTTTTAAAGATCTTATTGGGGGAGTTGGGGGAGGGCAACAGCGTTGGGGAATTGGGGGAAGGCGAACAGACAAGTTGCTGTCCTTTTGTTCTTCAGTCTGGTTGTGGAGGACATCGCTTCACTGGCCCATGTTGGTATTATCATTGCGCTCTTCCCGGGTGAGGCAGATCCGGCCAACCTCTGGACAGCCACTCACAGCGGCCTCTTGGTAGCTCACACTGGCTGCTGGCCACACACGGTAGCTCATGGAAGCCCACGGCAGCAGGGGCTGCAGCCTACGCCGTCACTGGCGACTCATGGCAGCCCAGCTCCAGGTCGAGCTGTTGTTCACCATCTTAGCTGCAGAGGGCAGTGTCACTGGCCCTCATGTGGGATCTGAACTGGGACCCTGTTGCTCAGAGCTGGTGTCCCAAGCCAGCTCTTAACCAATGAGCCACTCGGCTGGCCCTCTTTTTCTTTTTTGTACGTAATAGTCTTTACTTGGATAGAAGATGGCACTTGATTCCAAAAGGGCCTACCATACTCCAAGCATATCTATCTATCTACTTATCTATCGATTTATCATCTATCTATCATCTAACTATCATCATCTACCTACCTATCCATATTTATCCCAGTGCTTATTAAGGAATCAGGTATAGGATTTTATTTTCTTGAGAAATTGTGATGTTCTTCTAATAAGCAGAAAATACACTTTCAAAAGTACAGGTTTACGTATTCCTCTATTAGTTCAGCTGAGTGGTTATTGAATGACAAGAGAACACCACATTTGGAAGACAAGGGTGTGATTAATATTTCAATACCTTGAAAGGTGCTTTTATGGTGAGGTTTTTGTGTTGTAATCCTAAACTCTAAAGTGATACTCCAGGCTTTAAACTAGAAAGTCATGGCTTGTTGAAGCAGTAGTGACTGTGAATTGGAGCTTCAGTTCTATCAGCCTGGCTGACTTAACAAAGTGTATGTAAGGCTAAAGGGCGCAAGTGGTGGACCTGCCAGGAATGCTCAAGAGTAGAGACCCCATCAGGAGAGCAATATCCACCATTGTTGTCCATTGAACTGGACAGTCTTACATGTTTTCCGATTGACCAAGAAGCTATTTCCGTGGCTAAAACTCACGAAAGCATTATTTTTCCTTTGAAAATATTCTTCTGTGGAAACAGAAGGATTGCAGGACTGTAATCTCTGAAGGAAATTGGGAGAGGGAAGGCATTGTGAGTATATATTTTTTAAAATGAAGAATATTTGATTTGCTTTCATCATAAGAGCCGAGGGTAGGGTTCTTTCCTCTTTCAACTCTAATATCATCAAACTTTATCTGTATCCACTTGGACTTATTTTCCCTCCAGTTCTAGAAAAAGGGCTTTTCCT